ACACATGAACACACCTACATGCTCTCTAAAGGACAGAAAAGTACTTATAATGAGATTTTTTTGTTGTACTGTGCAAGACATGGTGCTGACAATCAACTTTGCTGTTATCTATAGTCTTCAGACAAAGACTGCCAGACACCTGTAGTTGGACTTGTTGGGTTTTTCACAAACTGCAGTAAGGGAAAATACACACCATGTGGGGGTCATGAAGTATCTCAGAAAAGGTTTGTCAGAAAGAACCTGGCATAGAATTTTGGGTTTGGTTGGGTAATTTTAGGATGGGTCTAAGAAAAAAGGGTTCTCTCCAGATTGGGTATTATCTGTATGTGGAGGCGATTCTACTTTTGGGAATCTCGATAGGTCTTATCTATGCGGAACACAGACTAGGGAGAGATTAAAGCTGTCGTTGGTAAAGAAATCACTGTCACTCATTCAGCAAGGGAAGAAAATGTTTGCCATTTTGTGTTGTACAGTGACCTTGTTTTTGTCTCATTTTATCATGGTCTAAGAGTGACCTTGTTAGATAATAGATATTCTGTGAGATTGTTTATATTCAAGAGGGAAATAAAATGGCCTGGCTGTATGTGTCAGACCAACTTGTAGTAACACTGAGGTCTAGGTGTGAACATCAAATCAGTTCTAGATGTGAGGGGCTACTTTTATCCTTTTTCATTGTCTTACTGCTTTCCAGGGTGTGTGAGTTCACTGAATGCTGCTACCGTCAGCCCTGGTTCTATATCATTTTCTCGACCTACTTTTCCTTTTGGATTGTTTTTATTTAAAAGATAAGTACTTTTTTAAAACACAACTAAACACGCTCATTATTTATTAGTGTGTATGTCCTATTTTATAAGCATTTATAAGCTTCTTTAAATCCTTTTCTAGTGAAGAAAAATTAATTCATGTTTGAATGAATAAAAGCAATGAGTATCTGAAAATGTAAGATATTCCTAGTACCTATGTATTGTTGCCCGCACCATAATCAAATGCATTTTGAATAGATATCCAACTACATTTTCCTTGTATAGGGCAGTAAGCTGGGCTACTTTGCAATCTATTCATTCAGTTAACAAGGAAAATTTTCTCAAACTACTCTCCTCTGCTGGAACCCTCGTAAGAAGCACATTATACTCGGTATAAAGTATATCACAAAATATAACACACACACACACACACACATCCCTTACCAGGTTCAAATTTATACAAAACAATATTTATTCTTACTAATTGTGATGTACTCCAGTATTTTCTATTTCATTCTATTTTTATTTCATTTTTAAAGTTAAATACTGACCTTCTAAGTTGAGCTCATGACTCCCTAATGGATCTCAATCTGCATTTGAAAAAACTGGGCACTAGAACATTCCTTTTCACAAAGCAAAATATTTTTGATACTTTCATTGAATTAATTTTGGTGTTTTTTAAACCATGGTAGCTGTTTTTTAAAACCATGGTGAGTGGTAATAATGACTCAAAAATCTTTCTTGGCAGTTTTAGCCCTGCCTCTTCCTACTGGCTTGCCCATCACATGCAGAGATTACCTATGTTGGGCATCTGTCTTCAGTATGCACCAAGATTCTCACCCTTTCAGCATCATCATAAATATCCCTGAACATTCTGTCAATGGTACTCTTCCTCCCAGCACTCCTTACTCGCATCATCATTCTCTATCTTCTTATCCTGTTTGATTTCTTCATAGGTTTTCCCTCAATTTTTATTTATTTTCTTTGCATTTGCCTACTCTTTCTCCTACTAAGAGAGAGTAGGAGAAGGCATGCACCAAGTCTGTTTTATTTACCATTGTACACCAGTATTGCTGGGAACAGAATGACACTCAACAAAATATTTGTTAAATAAATTAATAAAAGGGAATATCAGACATATGAGTAAATTAAATATAAAGCAGGAGGTAATAAGTGCCAGAAAAAAGAAAAATGTTTGAATTTAGAATCAAGAATCTGAAGAGTGTGTGTGTGTGTGTGTGTGTGTGTGTGTGTGTGTGTGTGTGTACGTACAAGGGGAGAATTAATATGAGAAAGTTACAAGTAATTATATTTTAAATATATATGATGAATGTTTACATTATATATAAAGCCCACATTTGTTATGTATTTTGTACTTTTTGCTTACAAAATTAATTATGACCTAAATAAATGAAATATTCTTCTCTTGATCTGCATTCTAATTGAGATCCAAGTTAACACAGTTATTTAAAAATAGTTTTCAAACTTTTGATGACAGTAAAATTATGACATATGAGTCAGGAAAGATTAAGGAATACAATATAATGTGACCCTGTGCAACACTGGCTTGGATGTGGGAAGGGCTGGATGGAGTTCAAGACCCACATTTGCGTAGCCTTGGGCACTATCTCACCAAGCCTCCACTATCTTATCTACAATATAACTAGTTTGGGCTAGATAACTTTCTAGCTCTGTCATTCTCTGATCCTAGGGAGTAAAATAGTCTTAGCTGTGTTACGCATCCATCTATCTCCTTTGCAAGTGGCCATCACCAGCTTCCTTGGCCAATTGTTGCTGTGTCTCTGCACCCACCCACACCAGTGTCTATTTTGAAACAAATCCTCAAACACATCATTTTATCTGCTTTTCCTTACTGGAAAAAAACGAAGAAAGAAAAAGGTCAATGTTTTAACTTGGTGGACCACAATGTCACATTGGCTCCTATACAGAAATGTAAGGAGAAAGAGTTTTCATTTAATGGTGTAATTGCAAATGGACAACAGTTTTAGAAAACAGGAGTGATTTTAAGACGCATGATGACCAGCTTCATATTAAAGAAAGGGCAAAAGTAAAAATATGATTTTTCTCAGAATATTCTTCACATTTAAAAATAATTCTCTGTTTGGCAGCTCAAATTGAAGAAATTCTTTTGAATGGGCTGGGGAATCAGAGAACATACGAGCCACAGGCAGAAGGGAGGTTCCATTCCAGCAACAGTTGACCACAATCTGCTTTTCTATTTGGGCCTCAGCTTTTGGACAGTTGTGTGCCTGAGACTGCAAGGTTATTTCTGGCTTTGCCAATGTTGCTTTCAGCCATTGAGTTTTGGGCTGGTTTGCTACACAACTGTCACTAGCCAACACAGAAGAAAATGCAAAATCTCCAATCCTGATATTAGACAATATTCTGTCAACAAAATGACCATCTATTATTATTAATAATATTATAATCCCTTAGATTTATTTCTTCGGGTTACTTTTACCTGAGTGGGTTGTGCAGAAGAAGGAGGCTGAGTGAGCAGGAGACTTGGCCATATATGGTTAGAGGTGGTAGTTGGGGTTACGTGTCGCCATGCTTTCTGGTATGGACATTCTGTTTTTCCCTGCATGGCAGCAGCTAGAGCCCTAGCCTGGAAGTCAGAGGGTGTTTACTCTAACTCTGTCTCTGCCACTTGCTGGTTTTGTGAACTTTGGCTACTCTCTAGACCTCTCTGGCCTCAGTTTCCTCATTCATAAAAAATACCAGCTATATGACCAGGAACGGTGACTCACGCCTGTAATCCCAGCACTTTGGGAGGCCGAGGTGGGTGTATCACCTGAGGTCGGGAGTTCGAGACCAGCCTGACCAACATGGAGAAACCCCTTAGCTGGGTGTGGTAGTGCATGCCTGTAATCCCAGTTACTCGGGAGGCTGAGGCAGGAGAATCACTTTAACCTGGGAGGCAGAGGTTGCAGTGAGCCGAGATTGAGCCATTGCACTCCAGCCTGGGCAACAAAAGCAAAACTCTGTCTCAAAAAAAAAATACTATCTATAATAATCCCTACCTGACTGGCCTACCCACCTCACTGTCAGGATCGAGTAAGATGATGATATGAACACACAGTGAATACTGAAAAGCGGTCATTTGCATACACACGCGTGAGATGATGTGAGGACATGAATTAGGATTTCAACAGAACACGCTATAGTTTTTCCTGGACTATTCAAAATGTCTCATAAAACTTTTCTGTTAAAATAAAAAGTCAGTGTTAGTCTATATCATGCCAAATACCTGGACTTCATTTTACAAAATATATAGATAAAAGTTTTGTGTATGGTAATATGTGTAATCAATGCTATCAATTGATTAGTAATTGGCTAACCCCGGTTAACCAATTACTCTGCTTCATAGGTGCAGTGACTGAGACTCTGAGGGGTTAAATAACTTCTCAAGGGTCACATTTACTAAGCAATAGAGGCAGAACTTCTACTCAGGGACCCTTTCCATTATATTCCAGCAAGGTTTCTCAAAAGGATTGAAGGCAAGTTTGCCACTGACTCTGAGAAGGTAGCTTTATATGGGATGATACCCGGGCATCTTCACAAGAACAAAGCAGAAAACAAATCCCTTCAGCCAGAGAGCCTTGGAGAACTTTTTGTTTATCTTCTTTGCTTGCACCAAAGCTGATGAATAAACCATGGGGCTGGCAGGCAGCACTTGAAGGCACCACTGACTTCATAGTGAATGAATACTAAAGGTGTCCTGGGTCTGGGCAGAAGAAGACCCCATGGATGATGGTGGATAGGACTGTGCTCACGTGAGGCCTCCCAGCCAGCAAGTGCATGTGGCGGAGGAACATGGCCAAAGCTTCCTGTCCGTCACATACCTGTATGAAACACAATTGTCCAGACTGTCAGAAAGTGTTCTGTATGATGGTATTTTTCAGGTGTTCATGTTTTTGTGATGGTGGAGGAGGGAAATATTATGCTGGAACCAAGTAGGATTCATTTCTCTTCCCCTTCTCAGCCCTCTCTCCAAGTCTGCCTCCCCCAACTCACTCCACCTTGCCAGTTGCATTTGTGCGCTTGAATAGCCCTCAATTCAATTGTCAACGAGTGATGATATTTTAAGTGTTAAGTTGAATTTTAAAATGCATTCAAAATTATTAGCACATAAGAATTACAAGAGCATGGAAATTTCAGCCTTAGCAGCTTAGATAATTATCCACCCACCTCAGCCTCCCAAAGTGCTGGGATTACAGGCGTGAGCCACCGCATCCGTCCAGGTAAGGCTTTTAATTTAACCCAAGGACCTCTCACCACTTGGAGAATAATTCAGCCCTCAACAGCACCTCAAATCTGCTACGACTTTGCAGTGCAGCAGCAAGAATGTTTAATATATAATAGATAAAAATTTCATCCAAAAAATTAAAATAAAATATTCTTGCAACCCCCCCAACACTAATTCCTATTCTAAAGTTAACCTATCACTTGTGCTGTTAATGCTTGACCATATACTTAAGGGGAAACCTAGATCCAAAAGACTGAAACTGAATCTTCACCCCAAAATGAAAACAAAATAAAATGAATAACTTCCTGTTTATGGCATATAGTTTAGGTAATACACATACAAGGAGAAAGGGGAAGAGGAGATGGAGGTGTTGGAAGCAAAGCTGAGTGACAGAACACATTCAGTCAGAGCAGATGTCTATACAGAGCAGAATGGAACATCAGGAAAAGCTCCATATGGATTCATGTTCATGCATCTGGAGGCACCAGAGCTCTCCATGGCAGATGGAAGAACACGGAGTTAAGGGAGGAGGCCATTCCTGTCATTCCAGTTTTAAAAGCTCCACATCAAAGACGAGAGTGGCATGTGGTGGGATGATGCCTGGGTGCTCAGCGGCATCGTAGGCATAATCTGGAGATATAGTCAGTTTGGCTCTCTGACCCACACTCATCTGGGCAACCCTTTCTTTCAGCCTCAGGTCACCTCCTGCTTGCGTACCATAAACTTAAAGGGCTTTTTCTGTCCCGGGATGAATCAAATTTATTTCCATCTTCAAGCATCCGCGCTTCAGGAAGGTGCGCTTGTCACCTGGGGAGATGGTTTCCACCTGCACTCCCACGGAAGCTGCAGACGCTGCCGGGCCGGCGGCGGGAGGGCCGGGCTGCGTGGACCAACAGCAACCCGGCGGCGGTTCCACGGCTCTGCCGAGTCCCCTTCCACTGGGTTTTAACCACGCACAATTTTGCTCCCCTCTGACTCTTGTTGGGGTCGTAATAGACTTTAGACGACCATTTCCTGTTCCAACGATAATGTGTCTGGTCCAGCCTTGGATGCCACAAGCAGCGTCTGCGATGTCTATTTCATACGCCCTTTGGAAAGTCCTACACTCAAGGAAAACAAGTTGCACATCCTCTTAGACAGATGTCCCAGTGACGATGAGCTTATCATTTGGACTGAAACAGCAGTCAGCCATTGGGAACATGGTGGAAAGACCCAAGGCCGAAAAGGGTGGCTCGTTAAGTTGTCGGTTGTCCCATCAGTGTCATGAATCATCGCCTCCACGAGACGCAAGGACATCACCATCACAGGAAAACGTCACGCAAGGAGTGTGTGCGCCGGGTAATGAGCCTGTTTATGGTGGAACTCAGGACCAGCAGTCAGATTTCCGTCCCAGATCTCTATGGTTCCATTCTGGCAGGCAGCTGCTATGAGGTTTCCATCTCTACTTTGTGTGCACGTAGTGGGAACAACTTTTTCGCCCTGCATCGTCTGTGGTTTAAGCACACTTTTTTGCTTCTTTGGATTTTCAATTTCCCACGTCCTCACAGTCCTGTCATCCAGGACAGTATAAACATTCTTGCCCCTACTGGTTCCACAGTACTCCTCTCCTGGGTACACTTCCATATTTCTTGCTGAACTTAAAATGCCAGTAGAAGCGATTTCTTCACCTCCATCATGGTCACATTTCAGGAAAAGGGAGCAGGGTTTTCATCTTGGTTGCTCCGGCCTCTCTTCAAAATCATCAGATCCTGACCTGGGGCAGCGCCAGCAGCTCCTCCCATTCGAAGTCTCTGGCGCCGAGGTGGGCCCGGGTGGGAAGGAGGCTGTGGGTCAGGGCCCCGCCTGCGGCATCCCATAAAGAGGACAGCGTGGGGCTGCGGGTGAGGCCCCGTCCTCCGTCCACGTCTCCATTCCGCCGCCTCCTCCAGGCCAGCCCAGCCCCGGAACTTCTCTTCCAGTGCTTGAGGGTCCGCCCGTGCAGCGTGGAAGTGGACAGCCAGGGTGACTTCCGGCTGTCTCCCCTGTCTTGTATTTTCCACAGTCAGATTTAATAGCTGTATGTGGGTGATAATCATTATAGTCATCATCACTATTATCAGTGAATATTTTATGGTGCCTTGATTAAGTGGGGGCACTGTGCTAGGTGCAGTTAAGGACTTTACCTTTCTAGAAGATACTGTCACTGTTTTTAAGGAGTGTCCCATTTCCATTTCTGGCCCAGAGGTAAGATTAGAGATTCTGACATGGTGATAAGTTTGAAAAACAGATACAGCGCTGAAAGTCCAGAGGAGAAGGGAGGTGGAGAGGGAGCCAGCTTCAGAGTGCTGATTTCCAAAGTCCTGCTGCAGATCACCAGTGTGCTTCCAGCTGCTCAGTGGGAAAAGCCTCAGAAATAGTGAAATGCTGCAGGGAGGTGAAAGGAGAATGAAGCCTGAGACATGGCCTTGGGGCTCAGTAATGGGTAATGGCACTGATAAACTTACCGTAGTGAGACTGGGACAGAAACCAGATGGCAAAGTTAATAAACCTTTTCCCTTTTATAGGTTTTCAAGACTGAACTGCAATTGCAAAAATAATTCCTCCTTGTAATAACTAATGTGATTAAACCTAAAGGGCAGAGAATGCATCCAGGTCTTTGGTGGTCTTCACAGCGTGAGGCACAAATCAGAGGGGGCCAGGAACTGGGAGAGAGGGTTGGCCAAGAAAGGAAAAAGGAGCAGGGCCAAAGGAAGATGTTTCCAAGACAGAATTCAAAAATGAAAAAGTTTGATTATTTCTGAAGTTGTTTGATGGGTAAAAGGGAGTTCATTATACAGTTCTATTTAGTGGATTTTTTTTAACTTCTTTAATAAAAATTTAGGAAAAGCAAAGTGAGAACTGAGTATGTGTGAAGAGAGTGAAGAAGTGGTTAAGAGAAGATACTAAATCTCTAAGATGGAATAACGATAATTGCTGATGCAGTCTCAGGGGGGGTGTAGAGATGGAAACAAAAGCACCAGTGAGGGAATTAACCTTCTGACAGGGGACAGATATTAAAAATGGAGACGATAAGAATAAAATGTGGATGAAAGAGGGAAGTGTTCATATAAAAATATTATAAGGCTGAAAGGAAGATGGATGAAGGAACTTGGGCCTTCATTTCTGCAAGTGGGAGGAGAGCTTATAACTCTCAAAGGAGTTGGGGTGGGGAAGGAGGGAGGGTTTGAGGAATGTGAAAAAGGGTTGGAATAACAGTTGTGGAATGTAGTAGGTAATGAGTGAGTAAGAGGGGAAGACGACTGCTGAGAAGCAGGCCCATCTAGAGAAAGGCAGCCCAAATTTTTAACCAGTTCATACTTCGAGAACCACCACCATAAAGCATGCAGAAAACAGCAAGCTGGAGTGATGCGGGGTCTCTTCCAACCCTGGAGCCATCTGAAATCCCTAAGCTGGCAAGTGACTGTCCCAAGAATAAAAGTTTGTTAGAGCAAGTAGCAACTGCTTGAAACACCCCACAATGAGCTGCTCCAGTAGGAAGTCAAAGGACGGGCATCCATTTGCCCCGATGTCAGTAGAGTAACAAATGTGTCCAACCTCAATGTATGGTCCTCCAACTGGCAGAATCACCCGAAGCCTGTTAGAAATTCAAAATCTAAGGCCCCGCCCCAGACTTTCTAAATCAGAATCTGTGTTTTAACAAGATTGTGGATGATTTATGTGCACAATAAAATTTGAGAAGCCTTGGTCTATAACTTTGCTAGAAACTTTGATATACATATAGGTAATCACAGAAAAGCTAATGTCAATTTAAAAAAAAATTGGGCCTCTACATTGTGCTGCTCCCACTGTGAAGACTACCAAAGACCTGGACGCATTCTCTACCCTTTAGGTTTAATCACAGTAGTTATTACAAGAAGGAATTATTTTTGCAATTGCAGTTCAGTCTTGAAAATCTATAGAAGGGAAAAGGTTTATCTAACTTTGACATTCTGTGAATTGGAGCTGATCATTCAATTTCAAGCAAGGGAGTTTCTCATTGACCTTACTTCTGGACTCTCCACCGCTGTCAGTGGCAGGGTAACCCAGGTGCACTTAAAGGAGGCACACATCATACCAATTACTACACCAAGTTACTTCCTTTTAAAACTTGGTTTTAATGTTTTTACCACCTTAGAATTTGGTCTTACCCATAATTTTTGCTCTCTTTGCTCTGCCCTTTGGCAACTAAAAATCTGTAGTTAGAGTCAGTGAGAGCATCTTTAAGCAGGGGGACCACATGATCCTTCCAACTTGTTGGCACTGCTCTTTTCTTTCACAAGACACTCAGTCTAAAAAGTGTGGGCTTGAGTTCAAGTGCTGACTCGCTTTCTAGCTGTGTGGTTTTGAGCAAACTCCTTACCTCCTGAGCCTCCGCTCTCTTCCACATAGCAAAGAGGAAGGTTACTGGGTTACTGTTACCCACCTCAGAGGGACGTTGTGAAAATAAAATTAGCTAATACTGAAAAGCATTAAAGTCATACCTAGCATGTAACAAGCTTACAATAAATATTACTACATAATATAATTTTATCAAAATTCTATTCTTGGCAATGAGCAGTTTCAAAGGAGCCTTTTCAGGTGAGCCTTCCCTATCCTCCCTAGAATCCCCTGTTACACTATATACTTTCATGACCTTCTCTAGTCCATGGAACAAATCATAGTTTGTTATTATATGTTTCTGACACTATTTAACTAATGAAAGGCAACATGCATAGAGGTTAAGAGCACAGACTTTTCTTTTTTAACTAGATTGCTTGGGATCAAATCCTATCCCTTGCTACTAGTGATGAGGTCTTGGGAAAGTTACTTAACCTCTCTGGAATGTAGTTTCCTTATTAGTAAAATTGAGATTAAAATAGAACCAACTTCATACAATTGCTCTGAGAACTAAAGGATATTTCTTGGCATCTAATAAGTATGACATCTTTTTCCTGTTATTAGCATTATTAATATCTACCTTCCTTTTCTTATAAGCTCTGCCCATTTAACATGTCTCCAGTACCTGACACATCACTGCTCAAAAAATATGCTAAAAGAATAAATATACAAAAGCTAAAATTGACCCTCACAAACGTTCACTGACATGAAATTTTAAGACAGTTACTTTTGATATTATTTTTTTCCAAATTGTACTTGCTCTTTTGGCATTGTTAGCATTTCCTAATAAGTTTGTAATTTTTTTTTTATTATTTTTTTTGAGAGACTCCATCTCACTCTGTTGCCAGGGTGAAGTGTGGTAGCACAATCTTGGCTCACTGCAACCTCCACCTCCTGGGTTCAAGTGATTCTCCTGCCTCACCCTCCTAAGTAGCTGGGACTACAGGAATGCGCCTCCATGACCAGCTAATTTTTGTATTTTTAGTGGATACAGGGTTTCACCATGTTGGCCAGGATAGTCTCTATCTCTTTACCTCATGATCCTCCTGCCTCAGCCTCCCAAAGTGCTGGGATTACAGGCATTAGCCACCACTCCTGGCCTGTTTGTAAATTTTTATAAGCAAAAATTATTGGGAAAAACAGTTTTAAAAAAACAAATGGGAAAATACTTGTGCAAAGGTACAGATGAAAAGTATAATACATAATTATACAAAGTCAGATATATAGACATTTAAAACAAATGCAGTGTTAAAATTTCTCTGCATTTTCAAACCATAACATGAATTTCTAACTTGGTTTGAACCCATGTTTAATTTTAAAAAGGAGATGAGGAACCACAGTTAGTGATGTTTTACTTTATGGAGAGTGGGTGAGGGGTGAATTCCTGTTGAAAGTTAAC